ACCTACTACATGTGATGTACTGTTCTAGGCCCATACGATACATTAGTAAAAATCCTACTTTGTTCATGTGCTTAAATATTCTTGTGTGGGAAGTTAAAGATTAATGATAAACATAAACAGCTGGGATATTATTCAACTTGGAGTAAAAGTTGGAGAGTGGCAAGTGATTTTTCATGGAAAAATCAGGGTAAGGAAAAGGAGACTAGAGTGACCAGGGAGCAGGTGAAGCAGGCTGGAGTATTAAACAGGATGGCTAGCTCAACAGAAATGTGCAGAATGGGGAGGAGGCCATGTGAATATCAGGGTGAATAGTGTTTTGGGCAGAAGGAACAGCTAGAGGAAAGCCTACAAGAGACTAGTAGATGGGGTCAGAGAGGTTATGGGGGACTTGCAGGCCATTTAAGGGGTTTAATTCTGACTGAGTCAAGTGGGGAGCCACCACAGGATTTTGACCAGTAGAGTGATATGATTTGACTAATATTTTAGGAGGCTTTGTCTTTATGCTGTGTTGAGAAAAGCCTGAAAGCCACAAGGATGGAAGCAGGGAGACCTGTTAGGAGGAACTGAGAGCTGAAATGATTCTAAGCATTGTGAGGCAGCCAGATCTCTTAGCAGAGTACTGAGTCCTCGGTAAATTTTAGTGATTATTACAGTTTTTAGTTTAGATATGCCTCCTGTAACTTGTTTAGTAGATTACAAGTAATTAGCCCTTGTTGTTGTTGTTTAGTCACTAAGTTGTGTCCGACTTAGTGAACCATAGCTCGCCAGGCTCCTCTGTCCATGGGATTTTTCAGGCAAGAATATTGGAGTGGGTTGCCATTTCCTTCTCCAGGGAATCTTCCTTACCCAGAGATCAAACTCATGTCTCCTGCATTGTCAGGCAGATTCTTAACCACTTAGCCACCAAGGAAGCCCTAATTCGCCCTTACCCTTATGTAAAAATCAAAGTCCACAGGCTTACAGGCTTCACAAACTTATGCTCCTATAGGAATTGAAGAAAGAATTTGCATTTCTGAGTTAGTTTGTGGCCTGTCAAGAAGACCTTGAGAACTCAATGAGGGATGAAGATGAAGATGGAGAGTTACCCCTAAAGGTAAGTAAGAACAATACACTTTCAACTCAACTTCAAATGTGTTCATATATTTGAGGGACATGCCTAAGTAAAACATAATGCCTTACAAGATATAATGAGATGTGAAAACATTTTAGGTTAAATTCTAAACCAGAACAAACAAAACAAACAGAGACCAAAACAGAAGATATCTTTGGAAGGTGTTTTAGTTCTCAGCATACCAATCTTACTTTAAATTGGGTCTACTACTTTGAAAAGTAGCCCATCTCAAATTCTATGGGATTCTGTATGTTATATAAATACTGTGACAAATTTTTATTTTGAAAAGGTGTATGAATCAGTGGAACATGATTTTGATAGGAAAAACACATGCAGTTGTTCGAAGTAAAGAAATGTAAAAAGGAAATACACTTCTGCTTTATCCAATCCTATAAGAAATCAGGTGTCCCAGTGATACCAGCTTATGCACATGGAGTTTTATATGCTGGCATTATCTCTAGGAAGGTGAGAGGTAGAAGGAGATCTGGGAGACACAACTGCAGGCACTCAGCATACTTTATGACTGGTAGAAAACAGTTTTTGGCCCAGGATGTGACTCTACTATAAAATAAGCCAAAACTGCTCAGTTTGGACAACCTCTTTTAAGTTCACATTTTACGTACTCAAAATAACTAAGCCATTTTAACCTCTGGGTAGTCCCTTTCTGCTTGGGTTGATAGCTGGCTGGGGAATGGAGTTGCTGGTGCTTCAAATCTGCCTCAGAAATAGTTGAATAAGGTAGAGTGTTCCACCCATCCTTTTTGTTTTTAGTTCTATTCTCCTTTCTTTTAAAGGAGCTTTTAGTGTATTTTAGTGGCAGTGAGGAAAAGGTCATAGATATATATGTATTTACTGTTACCTCTCATTGCATATTAGCAGAAAGGAAAGTGTGAGTGTTATTTAAAAACTCAATATTCCAATTTTAGGTTAAAAAAAAATCAGTCTCACTAGAAGTGTTCTTTTTGTTTTCCACTTCCCACTTTCTCCTCCATTATCTTTTATTGTAATGCACTTGGTATAGTTCCCAGCCTTTCCTATGTTTTAGTCACTTAGGAATTTTCAAAATGTACTCTTGACTAGAGTCCTAACGCCAGAGACTGATTCATTTGATCTAGGGTTAGACCCATGTGGTATTTTAAAAAAGTGCAGCTAGGGTTTAACATTGCCATGGTTTCAAACAGGAGTAAAAGTATCTAGGTTCTAGTTGCAGTGCTGGCATTTACTAGCTGGCTGACCTTAGTTCTCTAGTTCCCATAAAATGATGAGGTTGGAATAGAGATATATAATAACCCTCTAACTCTATAACAAAATCACATAAATGGGGATTCATATGATCTCACCAAACTAACTTCAAAGAGATGAAAACTGAATTATTTGGGGGTGTAAGAGTTTGATTTGAAGTAGGTGAGTAATATAAATGAGTAAATAAATAAAAGCACTTAAGTAAACTTTTCCCTTACAAGGGGTGGAAGAAAAGAAACAAGACATTCATGCTTAGAAATCACAAGAGACTTCCAGGGCAGCTTTGTGTATCCCCAGCCCTCTTAAATTGGGAGCTAGTCAGATGCTACCCGGGGAATGGGGAGCGGGAGGAGAGAGTTTGCTACACACCAAGAAGATAAATATAATACAAGTCCCCAAGGCCTTACACCACTCATCAGACGATAATCTGGCCTGGTACTAAACAAAGCTAGCGTGGAAGGCGGGGTAGGGGTGTTTACGTATACGTAGATACACACACACGTACACGCACCCCACCTCAGTCATCCACTGCGCTTGCCAAGAGCAGGCAGAAGGGGTGATCCCTGGCAATGAGTCCCCCTGGCCGCAACTCTACCGCTCTCCACTAGCTCCCTGTCCCGCCCCACCTCACTCCACCCAGAGTTGTCAGGGCGGGGCTCAGCCCTACCCATAACACAGGGCAGCGGCAGCCACTGCCATTCTCCAGGAGCTGGTTTTCTGTTCACTCTCAACCACTTTCACCTTACCCGTCCCTCTGCTTGGAAAACCAGACTCTCCCACCAACCCCATCCCCTGCTTCCCTGCCACTTCCCTCTAGATAAGGCCCGCCAAAGAGGGCCAAATAGAACGAAGCCCTTGGCCCAAGCACCGGCTGATCCTCTCTCCGACAGATCCTTAGTCCTTCGCCTTCACATTTACAGCCTCCGGTCTCCTCCTCATCCGCACACCTTTCCCAGACAAACCCTAACTCTCCCAATGTCACTTCCCAATTCTCCAGCCTCTCCTGCGCCCTCAGTCAATACCTCTCCCAGCTTTCTTCGCCGTGAGGATCCCCCGGGGAACCATCCCCCCACCCCGAACACTTAGTCTCCCTCCTTCCAGGACTCCGCCCTTGGCAGCTCAAGAGCCCCTCCAAGCGCTCACACTTTTCCCCTCCAGCCTGACACCTTGCGCGCCGCCCCGCCCCATTCCCTCTTCAAAACCCTTGCGAGCCCTCACTCCCGGATCTCACTCAGTCTCCGGACCCGACACGCCCGCCGCCGGTCCCTGCGCTCCTGGTTCTCTACCTCCAGCTGACCCACAGGGCTCTCCATTCACCTCGATTCTTCTCTCTTCCCTCTCTCCCGACGCCGGCTCTCATGCTCCCCTCTCCACACCCCCGCCCTTGAAACTCCCGCTCTCCTCCTCCGCCCAGCTCACTCTTCCCTTCCTTCCCTCCCTCCCACCCCATAGCCTCTCTCCGCCCGGTCCCAGTCCACTGATCGCCTTCGGGAGGGGTGGGCGCCGCTCGCCGGGCGTCCGCGGTGCCCCGGCCTCCACGGCCGGGAGGTGACGCGGCCCCCGCGGGAGGAGCCCGGGAGGCGGAGGGGCTGAGGAGGCGCGGGCGGCAGCACCGAGCGGCGGCGGCGGCGGCAGCGGCGGCGGCGTAGGGAGCGGGCCCTCCGCACCCACTCCAAGGACCACAGGGGCGGTGGCAGCTTGAGGGATTCCAGGCGGGCGCGTTGATGTGGAAGGACCCGCGCCCGACTCTGCTGCGCGTCGGAGGTCGCTGGGATCCGGGCGCTGGCAGCCGCGAAGCCCCGGCCTCGGGACTGTCCGCCGCTAGCCCTTGTCATCCCTACTCCGCTTTCGCTTCCCCGCTTTAACCCGGAGGGGTGGTCTCCAAGGCTGCCCCCCAGACCCCGGCCTTCTCCTCGACGTTTCTGGAGGGGGGGGGGTGTCCTCCCTCCGCGGCGCCGGGAGCCCAGTGACGCGTCGGCCGGCGGGACGGCTCGGCAGCTTCTCTGGGAAATTCGTCCCGGCTTCCTCACTCCTCTCTGCGCTCCCGCCTGGGCGCCCCTTTTGGTTCGCGGGGCGCTGCCTCCCCCGCGCTCGGAGCGAGTTCCCGGGACTCCCCCCAGGGGGCTGGGTCGCCGCCACCCCTGTCTCGGCTCCCGAGCGGCGCGCGCGGGGCCCTCCGCCTCCGCCGCGGCCGGACACCCTCGCGCCCCGGGCCGGCGCGCCGCCCTCCTGCCCGCTCCCTCCAGTCACCCCACCCTTATCGCCGTCCCCGCCACCTTACTCCACCACCCTCCCCGCGCAGCTCCGCGCCCTCCGCGGCCCGGCCCGGCCTCCCGCTCCTCTTCTCGCTCTAACGGCTCACTTGCCAGCCCTTCGCCCCCCGGGAAAAAAGAAACATTTCTCGGAGCGCACTCGTCAGCCCTGCCTTCCCCCCACCCCGCCGCGCTCGCCCTCCCCTCCCCTGCCCCCCCCGCTCTTTTCCATCTTGGGGGAGGGGGGCCGTCGCCTGGGATTGAAGGCCATTGATTTGTATGTATTTGTCCCGGCGCCGGAGGCTGCCCCAGCCGCCCGCGCGGGTGCCGCCGCCGCCGCCGCCGCCGGTGGAGTTGCCTCCCTGCTTCCCTAGGGTGGTTGGACTCCGCCAAACATGTCGGCTCCTGTCGGGCCGCGGGGCCGCCCGGCTCCCACCCCGGGGGCCTCTCAGCCGCCTCTGCAGCCCGAAATGCCCGACCTCAGCCACCTCACGGAGGAGGAGAGGAAAATCATCCTGGCCGTCATGGATCGGCAGAAGAAAGAAGAGGAGAAGGAGCAGTCGGTGCTCAAGTAAGGACCTGACTCCATCTTCCCGCCTCCCTCCCTCCCTGCCCTCCGCCGTCCCCCCCACCTCGGTCGCTGCCCTGCGGCCGCCGGCGCGCCCTGGGATCGCCGCCCTCCCTTCCCGCCGGCGGCGCCTGGGCCACGAGGGTTGCGACCGCCGCCGGGCGCCTGGGCTAGCTTGCTAAGGCTGTCAGAGCGCAGGGGTGTGTGTGTCGGGGAGGGAGAGCACAGAGGCCGGCCGCGGCGAGCCTGTAGGCGTTTAACTCCCCCTCGGCGTCTTTCCGGCTTGCCCCGCCGGGCCAGTTCGGCTGCGGGCCCCGGCGGGGCTCCGGGCTGAACGGGGGCTCCGTGCGTCCCTGGTCGCTCCCCGCCGCCCCCGCGCGGAGGCAGTGACTGGGGCGAGGAATCCAATATGGCCGTGCACAGGTGCTCCCCGGGCCGGGACCCGGGCGGAGGCGCGCTGGCCTGGGAGGAGGGCGCCGCCGGGAGCCCCGGGCGCCCCGCCTGCGCGGGGCGCTTCTGCCCCCCACACCCCGCCCCACTGCGGGAAGAGCAGCGCTGCCCACTGTCGCCCAGGCCGTGAGGGCGGCGGTGCGGCCGAGGGGGGCCTGTAATACGCGCTGTCGTGTCTCGGGTGGGTGTGCGGCCGCCGCCATCTTCCAGCCCCTCCCCCTCGGCGGGTGTGTAACACCCTGCGCTCTGCCGCTCTTCCTATTTGCAACTAGTAGATCTGCTTAATCCCGAAGAGGCTCCGAAGGGACTCCAGTTCTTCCCGTTACTGTAGTTTGGGATGCTCCCTACCTTGTGAAGTTCTGTTCCTCGTGCTCGTAGTCTAGGCAGCGGGATCTTGCGGAGGGTGGGACAGTGAAAGCAGCACCCAGGCACCCAACACAGTTTAGTGACGGTGTAACTTCAGCACTAGGGAGCTGTCCAGAGAGAGAGAGAGAGAGAGCGAGATCTGTAGGCGTTTTGAGATTCCTTTTCTTGTCAGTCTAGCTAAGAGATGTGTTTCAGCAGGTTTGCTTTTGAATGTTATACGGTTCTTTGACTTCTCGGTTACTACGTGAAGGAGATTGTGCAGAACATGTGTAACCATTTTTAAATGTTTTCCCAGCTCAATTCTTTCATTTTTTGCTAGAAATGCATTATTCATTAAGATTACTTTGTACAGTTTATACACCAAATATGCGACAGTTCTTTCGTGTCGCCTATTTCTAAATTATGCTTTTCCCATATTCTCCACAGAAACACATAGTTGAAAGTGTAGAGTTCCTCTGGGAAGGAACTAACACACTGACCTCTAATCATAAATTCCAAAAAACAGGTTGTTGAATTCAGTATTCTTTAGCACTTAACGAAGAAACAACCCTCTCTACACATATATATTTACATATTTTAAGGAAAAATGCTACTTTAAATTATATAACAGACTTATCAAATATCTTTACATATCCAAGAAAAATACTAGTTCTCAAAAAATACTGAAGGACTAAGAGAGGAAATGTGCTTCTATCATACAAACTGAAATAAAGAATTGCTTCTTCAAAACTAATTTCTGGGTTTGAGTAGTTGTTGGGCAATGTGATTTATTAGTAGGCTTGGGAAATGAAAAAATAGTAAGATTTAGGTAGCTTATTTCAACTAGTAAAAAATAAAACAATTATTTTAAAGAGCTCTTTGGGCATACTTCTGCCTTTTGCTTAACTTTACTAACAATGTCAACCTTTTGATGACTTAGAGTTTGATATTTGGATATATGAATCTGTATTTTCTTCTTTTTTTTTAGAATGGCTGTGTGCAGGGGGTCTTTTTTTTTCATTTATTTATATTAGTTGGAGGCTAATTACAATATTGTAGTGGTTTTTGCCATACATTGACATGAATCAGCCATGGATTTACATGTGTTCCCCATCCTGAACCACGCTCCCTCCCCATCCCATCTCTGTGGGTCATCGTAGTGCACCAGCCCTGAGCACTTGTCTCATGCATCAAACCTGGACTTTTCTTATAATTGTTAGAAGTATTGCCAAAATGATGCTCAAAATAAATGTGGTTTTATTTGTTTGACTCATATTTAAATGTAGGAAGTGTTTTTATTTTTTTTAACATCATGCAGAATTATGGTATTTATTGGCTAGTTCGCTGTAGTTCCAAATCTATTTATTGTTCCAATATATAGAAGCAAATGAATTTTTGAGTACTAAATTAAGGATTATTTAAGGTGAACTATATGTTATATTAGGAAAATGTGAAAGGGTTTTTTTCAGATAGGTACATGTGAGTATTTTACATTCCTGTGTAAACCTACATACTGTGCAAATGCATATAAAGTTTGTGCATTCATATTTGCATGGTTTAGGTCGAAAGAAGCATTCTCTAAGAACATAGTCATACAGTCTATGAAATTGCATTGATGAAAAATCTGTTTGTGTTTATGTAAAATAGCTATTTGCATCTTTACCTAAGTTAGACTTGGAAGGAGTCATACCTCAAAATGATATACATGGTTTAAGAATTATTTTTGTATTCATTTTAACAAGAAACTATTTAGAGGTTAAATTATAACGTATTTGAAACTTTAATTTTTAATGGTCTTTAAAAATACTTTTGCAGAAACCAACATAATATTGTAAAGCAGTTATCCTTCAATTAAAAGTAGATAAAAACTACTTTTTGGCTTTCATAATAAAATAAGATTAGACAAGGAAGATTAGGAAAAGAATAAAGTTTATAATAGAATGATAAAAATGAGACAGATTGTTTTGAGGATTTTGACAATTTACTACTATTTTCAATATTGACTCAAGTTACAAATGCTATTTATAAGAAAAAAATAGTACTAATATTCTTCAATGATTGCTGTTTGCGGTTAGATTTTAGGGGCCCTTTGCCTGGTCATGACTATACTTTGTTTCTCTTTAGTGATGTCTGTTTAATTGCATGTTAACATTTATTCTGAGAGAAGGTGATAGACAGAAATAAACTGAAATTCAAATTCATGTCTGCTGCCTTTTAACAGCTATGTTAAAAAATGAGTTCGCTGTGTGAAAAATTGAAACCATTGGATGAAAATATTTTTGCATGATCTGTGAGTTTAAATCTTCATATTAAGTATTCATACAAAGTAGAGTGTGGATACCCAAGGGCATCATATGATGATGTACTGGATTACAAGAAGAAAATTATTAAAACTTATATTTACATTTCTGTCTGTATTTGAAAAAGAAAGAAATTAAGTTTTATTGATACTTAATATATAGATTGACAATGTGAAGATGCATATAAGTAAATATACATATTTTAACAGTTAATGCCTGATATATTTTTAGTGAGAAAGGTGAGCGATCAAAACTGATTGAGACTACTACAGTAAACTCTCTTCTAAGGAGCGTGAATAATTAAAAACTATTTATATTTAATCATTAGCAGTTTCTTTAAGGCCTAGTTGAATAGTCACATATTCTGGAAGTCTTTGGTCATTATCAAATGTTACAGTTTTACATATGAGTGAGATATTAGGACTTTGGAAGCATTTTTATATTCAATAGATCCTTCAATGGATCAGCAGTTACTTTTTCTAAATCCTTACATGAATGCCTTTAACAGTTTTAGTTTGGATAACTCAGTGTATCAGTAAAATCTATAATGTTCTTTTATTGATTAAAGTTTTTAAGCCTTGTCTTTCAAGACTGTAAACTTCTTGAGAGCAGGAATAAAGATGCACTCTTCTTTGGAGTCTCTGTTTTGTAGCATCCTTAACACCTGCACATGGTAGGTATCTAGTAAGCAATGTTGATTTAACTTCGAGTAATGTTCATTAACATTAAGTAGTTTACCAAACTTGTTGGAAAATAAAATTTTTTGGATAAAGTGTGTAATTTATTTAAATTTTATATTTTCCAGTGTGCTTTTGTTCTTGTTACTATTTTTTGTTTGTTTTGGGTGTGAAGTGAAAAAAATGTATGAGTAAAGTAAACCCACTGAAATCAATAGAAAAGTATTTTCAGTAAATATTTATTGGGCTTTCTGCTATCCTTGTATCATAGTCTTTTAGATAAGATGTTTTTGAAACAAATTAGAAATTATGTGTTTCTTGTCATGTAAATTATCTTTTCATACACAGTTTAGATTTTATGTTAATGTCAAAGGGATAATTTGCTCCCCTAATAAAACTATAAATAAAAATTTGCATGATAGATCAAGGTAATGATTTAGATTATATTTAAAACATAGGTAAGAAGTTTTATATTTTTTAATATTTCAGTTTTAAAATACTTTCCAAAGTCAGCTTATGAACTTCTTTACTTAATAGGTAATATATACATATGGTACAAAATTTCTTAGCTACCTATTTTCCCTTTCCAGAGGCAACTCCTGTTGCCAGCTTATTTTATACTCTTTCAGAAATATTCTATGCTTAAGAGTAGATATGTGTGTATATTAAATATTGTATGTCTCTATATGTATATATGTGTGTGTACACGTGTGGACTTATATGTGTAAACATAAAAGGTACAAATATGTCCTGCAGTTTAGTTTTTAGGAGATCAATTCCACACCCATGAATATATAACTCCCTAATTCATTTTAATGGCTGTATGTGTGCGTGTGTGTGTATGCTAAGTTGCTTCATTCATGTCCCACTCTTTGCAACCCTATAGACTGTAGCTCACCAGGCTCCTCTGTCCATGGGATTCTCTAGGCAAGAATACTGAAACGGGTTGCCGTGTCCTTCTCCAGGGGATCTTCCCAACCAAGGGATCAAACCCAAGTCTCTTATATCTCTTGCATTTGTACATATATCATTTTCTATATGCGTGAATATGTCTCTGGAATAAATTCCTAGAAATGAGATTGTTTGATTAAAAGGTCATAAAGTGTAACCTTTATATTTTTATAAAGTATAAAATAAAAAAATTAAATTTTAATGTCACATTTACTTTCATAAAGGAAGTATGCAGAAGTGACATATGCTAGGGAGGTTTTCATATATCTTTGCTAACTCA